CAATTCATTTTTAATATTAATTTTTATTTTTTTATTGTCAATGACCGTTTCTTTTTTTTATGCTTGCAGACTCGTCAAGTTTTGGAAGAACTCACTGAACTTCCAGTAATGGTAGAGCTTGCTAGTGACTTTCTGGATCGCAACACTCCAATTTTTCGAGATGATGTATGTTTTTTTATATCACAGTCAGGTAAGCTATGTTTTGTTTGTATTTCTTAAGTGCAAGCAAAAGAAGATTTTTTTGTAGACTAAGTTAACAGTATGGTATGAAAATTTACTTTTGTTAAATCAACCTTCTTGAATTAGTGCATGTAGATAATTTCATAGAGAAGTGGTCTTCAGTTATTCAGTAACACCATTACTTTAGGAGAAACAGCTGATACTCTGATGGCCTTAAGATATTGTAAGATGCGAGGTGCTCTGATTGTTGGTGTGACAAACACAGTTGGAAGCAGTATTTGTCGAGAGAGTCACTGTGGTGTCCATATTAATGCAGGTCCCGAGATTGGTGTGGCTAGTACCAAGGTAATTTATTTGTTTTTTCATTTGCAAATAGGTTTCTAAAAATCAGCTTGTATGTGTTTTATAAATTTATTATTCACAGTGCATGCTATAGAGTCTTTCTTAAAATATTGTATTACATTTTGTTTAATATTAAGTTTAGACAAAGGGTTGTAATGTGTATGAAACTTCACTCACCTGTTTGAAGCTTCTGAAAACCTGCACCAGCAAATTGAATAGCCACCTCTAAACAAACTTAAAACACCTGGAATAAGTATTATAAAAACCATTACATTGTTTTAAAATTTACATGCTTCTCTGCAAAGTAGCAGTTAGTTTTAAGCACTGATAAGTATAATGTTAAACATTGGTTCTTCAGCAAGTACTATAATAAAAGACTTAACCTTTTGGGCTTTGTTACCTAATGCAAGCTTATATGTTGTCTAACAACAAGTTTTTTTTTTCAAAGTTGTAGATAATAACTTTTATACATTATTATCATGTTTTTGAATCAATCTGTTATTCACTTCTTCAGAATCTTTAACAATATCTGCTTTAAAGTGTTTTTTTGTCAAATATATTAATTACTTAATCAGATGAGTCAAGTACTTTTCATTTTATTCACTACAGGCCTACACCAGCCAATTTATTTCTCTAGTAATGTTTTCGCTAATGATGTGTGAAGACAGAATTTCCATGCAGCCCCGACGAAGTGAAATCATCCAAGGCTTGAAAACTCTTCCAGGTGAGTGAGTTTGTTGTATGAAGAATGAAATAACCCACTATTGCATGTTGATTATATGATAATTGTTGAGGAAGTCTTAAGAATTTGTTTGTAGTTCTTGCAAATAAATTAATCACATTCTAAAAAATTAGTCTTGTGAAAAAAAAAACACACACAAAGATTCAGTTCATTATCAAGACACCTCGTTCACTTCTCTATTATTATGATTTGGATAATGAGCAGTCTGTATTATTATGCACTATTTTCTGTTTAATTCAGTTGTTATAAACTCTGGTATGTTCATTCACCTTTTAGAGCAAATTGAGGAGGTGTTGAAGCTTGATGAAAAAGTACATGAACTTTCAAAAACCATGTACGATAAAAAATCACTACTGGTAATGGGAAGAGGATACAATTCAGCCACATGCATGGAAGGAGCTTTGGTAAGTGACTAGGTGTTGTAATGCAAAGCTTCTTTCTTTTTGTTTCACCTATTTTTTATTATGTAACCAAAACTCTTAGAACCTTTCTTGGAAGGCAACACTTGTCAAGAGGCAAGTAAATAAAATATTTGTATCATGGATCAGCCATCACTTGCCCATTGGCAAGTGAATAAAACAAATGAATGTGTCTGAAGTGCTAATGTACTGGGCAGTATGTAACCCTATATAATTATTTTTCTGATGACAAGAAACATTGATGTTTAGCAGCAGGATTCAATTTCACATCAGTCATAATCTACATACTTCCTGAAATTATATTTATTACTGTTCATAACCTACAATTTTATTGTTCAATTCTTAGAAAATTAAAGAACTGACTTACCTTCACTCGGAAGGAATTTTGTCTGGAGAGTTAAAGCACGGCCCTCTGGCTCTGGTTGATCAAAATATGCCAGTCGTCATGGTTGTCACACGAGATCCTGTTTATCCAAAATGTATGAATGCTCTTCAGCAGGTAAGAAAGTTACATAGATTGTTTTATTTACACTTACGAGAAGACAAATTTGTTGATGTTTTAATTTTAAGATTTTGTTTATGTATCCATCATTTAATAAAAAATTAATCAGTTTCTCATATATTTTCTTCTGTAATATTCGTTTTTCTCTGCAGCTGTTTATACAGCATTCTAATTTACTGAGAGGGTTCAAGCTTGCTAAATGTGCAACCTTAAACTACTTGTTTGTGTTTAAATGATCCTAAAGACTTAAATAATACTATTTTTAAGAAAGTTATTCAAATCTTAAACCAATTGTTCAGTATAATTTCAATAACTACAGTTCTTCATCATTATAATGTCACTGAAATATTGGTAAAATAAAAATAACCCTGTTAAAACTGTTGGTGATAAGTTTGAACTTCTTCAATGTCATGCAAGTTTTACCACCATGGATAGAGTAAATCTCCTTTCAAACTTCCTAATGTTTACAAGTTTCAAATGAATAATGAAATATTAAAACACTTATCTTTTTTTTTAACGTATCTCAAAATAAACCTGGCACTAGGAGAGCTATTTATCAATAAGCATGACAGTGAAAGAATTAATGACAGTATGCTACACAACTGATATCTTTTACAAATACATCTAATATTACTGTTTGAAGGACTTTAGTGTTGGAAGAGTTTGATCTCAAAATGTCATCACAAGAAAGAAAGAGTTATGAAGTATAGTGGTTTTTTGTTGTAATCATCCAGGTAACTGCCAGAGATGGCCGGCCAGTTATCATCTGTGAGAAAGGGGATGCAGAGACCAAGAAGCATGCCTATAACACGCTTGAGGTGCCTCACACTGTCGACTGTCTTCAGGGAATCCTTACCGTTATTCCATTGCAGCTTCTTTCTTACCACATTGCTGTACTCAGAGGATGTAATGTATGTAGCTATGTTTAACATGAACTTTTTTTTTTCATAGTGAAGATGCATTTGTGATATAACTTCATGGAAATTGTTAAAATTATACAACACTGGGTTTGCAGTAATTGCTATTAGCCTAGCCTAACTGAATTGTATGCTAGAATTATTGCTAGGTTTCCTTCATGCAGAAGCATGAGTATATTACATTGCACTTAAATTACTCTGACAAGGAAGTTCTTCAGTATTTGATTGTTTTTTTTTTCTTCTCTAGGTTGACTGTCCCAGAAATTTGGCAAAGTCTGTGACTGTTGAGTAAATTGAAAACTTACTGCACAATCTTACAGTTGTGTTTATTCATGATACAAATGATTTACACACACGTAAATATATATATATATAAAATGTAATTGAAGAGGAATTTCTTTATTTTTTTCTCCTGCTTTTGTACAGTTTTGGGGTATAAATTACTCAAAGAATTACATTTTATATGATTTTGTTTATATCTTCTGAGGCCTCTTCTTCTTCCAAATGCATTTCCTGATTTAATTTTCATATTATGTCTGTACTTCTCTAGATTTTATTTCATTGTAAGTTTTGAAGTGTCAGCATAACATTAACAAAATATTGATGACGGTTTGGTCACTTAACTCCGAGTTTTGTACATTTATTAATAGAAAAGGATTTTGAGCTTCTTAAGAATTTGATAGTGAGTACATATAACAACGAAAATTATTACATGAAATTGATTTAAAAAAAAAAACTATATATATATATATATATATATATGCTGTGAGGTTAAACTAAGTAAGAAACATGGTTCGTTAGTTAAAACTAATTCTATGAAA